CCCCCCCACCCCAGCTGGGCAGCTTGTCCCAGCCCCAGCCCCTCCCTCACTGTGGGGGCATTGATCTCCCACCACCAAGACCCCTTCCCTTCCACCTCTGCCTACCACAGCACACTTACCAGCTGGAGGCAGCTGTGTCCAGCATCATCGAGGACAGCTTATATAGTCTATGGCTGAATCTCCAAATCCGAATCAGCAAATCGAATCAGGACAGTGATTCAGATCACCAAATTGAATCACTGAACCTCTGAATTGGCTGAATCCGAATCTGAAGCAAATACTTGCTGCGTCGCACAGGCCTACTGAAAAGCCAGCAGCCATTAAATCTTTTTTAACCAAGCAAGGAAGGAACCCCCCACCCCCAGGCAACAGTGAAACCTATAGCTGCTGAGCAGACAAAAAAAAGAGGAGGAACTGACAGTGGTCAGCTAGAGGGGCTGAGATACCATAATAAGATGATATGCACCAATCACCATCATAGAATCAGAGAAATGAAGGGCTGGAAGGGACCTTGGAAGATAATCGAGTCCAGCCCCCCTGCTCTGGGCAGGAATACTGCTGAGATCAAATGATCCCAGCAATCCTGGTTTTCTTTGTTTAAAAATCCAAAATTCTCTGATTAAAACCCCCAAAATCCATGATTGCTTGTCTTCTGTTTCTCTTCTCTGCATCCTGGCCCCTCTATCTGATTTTGTCCTTTAGGAATGTGGAGTATTAAGGGTGATCTTCTGCTGAGATCCTGCTCCTTTGTCCTGTAAGTGGTGAAGGAGGAATTTCCCCAGAAGCTTAAAGCTGGCAGACCCTGCTCCTTCACCAACTGCTTCACCAGACTTTGCAGGTAGACAGGAGGGTGTCAGGAGGACAAGACAAAGAGAGTCTGTTGGAGAGAAACATTGTTGTGTTTATATTGCGCTGGTGTAGGGAACACCAGAGAGTCTGTATTAGTGATATCCATTAGATCAGCTTCTCAGCTGTTCCAATTCAGGGAACTCTGCAGATCAGCCTGTAGGATCAGAAAGCAATATTTTGTTCTCTAATGACTCACCACCCCCAAGTTCCTCTTGCCTCATTGAATGGGCCACTCTGTTTACCTGTGTATCTGCACAACACCTGGCACATACAAAGATACTACTGTAGCATTGATACTTTTAGAATGAAAGTGCCTGAATGCCCCCATACCCTGGCAAATATTCATAGGCCCCAGTACCCAGTTTGCACATAAAACAGCGTACCCATGACTGCAGGCACAGCTGGGTTTCCCTGTATGTTTATGAAAGCAATGGACCTAGATGGCAGAACTACATTGGGGAAAAACATCAGCATAGTTTTGCTTCTAAGGCACATATACAGACCTCTCCTTCCTCATTCCTCCCAGGTGCTGGACAGCATTTACTTCAGCCGGCGGTTCCATGTGCGCTGCGTGGCAAAAGCTGTGGACAAGGCTGGCCACGTGGGGACTCCACTGAGAAGCAACATTGTTACCATAGGGACAGACAGTGCCATTTGTCACACCCCAGTAGTAGCTGGAACAGCCCGAGGCTTCCAGGCACAATCTTTCATTGCCACACTGAAGTATCTGGATGTCAAACACAAGGAGCATCCTAACAGGTATCAGCCTGGGAATGTACTGTCAGGTGACTCTGATTCTGATATTTTAGGGTTCTAAATATTTCACTCTTTTTTTGTTGTTATACATAGACAACGAACAGAACAGAAAATGAGAGTAGGAAATGAAATTTCTTTCCTGCTGGATCCTAACCTTACCTGATCATATATTTAGTAGTACAGATCTGTAGTGTATGCCTCTTGTTCTTTTTCTTTCCCTCACTTGTGTGGAGTTATAATAACACTGCAGTCAGTGAGACTAACATGAGCAAGGAAATCCAGCCCTAAATAAACATCAGACTAGAAAAAACACCTTCACCCTTTGAGCTGTTCACAGCTCCATACCTTTTTGTTGTGTAAGTTGATGGAGTATTCCCCTCTTTTGTGAAGCCGCCTTTGACAAAGCAGAAGCAGCTGTTTATTTTTTCTGCAATCTGTTCCAGAATCCATATTTCAGTGCAAATTCCCCACCAGGATGGAATGCTTCCTCTCATCTCCACAATGCCTCTGCACAACCTGCATTTCCTGTTATCTGAGTCCATCTACAGACACCAGCATGTCTGCTCAAACCTGGTTACCATCAGTGACCTTAAAGGCATCTCAGGTAATTGCGAAAGCAAACTTTTGCTTTGTAAATGTGAAAGAGGAGATGTAGATCATTAAGCTCTTAAAGGCAAGGACCCTGTAGAACTATTTCTGAATGTTATTGGCATTATCTACATAATGAATAATAATTAATTTCTCTGTTTAGGTAATAATATTGGTCAGCAGAGGTTTCCTATTTCAGGAGGGTATATATTAAATCACGCACTGGATGTGTCTACACTTGCACCATTACTGTGCAGTAACTTAGGTTACTGCACAGTAATGGAAAATTACTGCACAGTATGGGCACACATCTACACATGTACGCCCATATTGCACAGTACCTATGGTAACTTAGGCTGACTTGAACATAAATTTTCTACCTGCATCATGCTACCTGCCCAAGTAGTTACTGCGCAGTAAGGCATGTGTAGATGACTTACTGCGCAGTAACCTTGTGTGTGCGGACTGACTTGGGACTCAGCTTTAGTCCCAAGTCAGTCTACACCCAGCTTTACTGCACTGTAGTGCCTGCACTTGAAGACGCCGGTGTAAAAACCACTTAAATGCATATGTGTGTGTAAATGCGCCCACTGAGGAGTTAATTTTCTTTTTTCCCATCTATATTCCATGGTAAGGCTTTGAGGGTCATTTGACAGACAGATACACATGCCCTAATGCCTCTGTCTGCAGTGTGGCACAGAAGGCAAATTAATTGCCTTCTGTTCTTCCACAATCCAAAAAAAAGTCAAAACATGTCATTAAAAATCAGCTTAATCCAGTCACAGATTACAGAACAGTATTACATATGTATCACAACTGCATGCAGAATTTATGGTGTCACTATGGAGCAGAGTTCAGATTGTTCAGGGTCCTTAACTGTGCATTTTTCTGCCTCTGTAGATTTCCTGCCTCAGTAGATACCTCTGAATTTCCTGGATTTATTTGATGTATTTTATATATTTGTTACTGTTTAGGTTTATATCCTGCCCTATCCAAAAGGCTCAGAGTGGGTTTCTGATGTTTGCTTTTAGAATAATTGCAGCACCCCATCCTTATTGTCATAGGCGATGCGTGGGGGGGAGGACACATGCCCCCTCAAGATTGGTCCTCTTGGCCCTTGCCAGCCGGGGGGTGGGGGGTGATGGCCCGTCCCCCCCCCGAGATTGTGCAGGTGCCAAGAGAAGCACCAGCGGCACTTCCGGTTTGCTGCTGGCACTTCCGCTGGCATCGATCAGCCGCTGGGGAAACGCCCTGCTTCTCCCCAGTCAGCGATTGGCCACTGGTGCCCCCGCAGGATCAGGAGGCACCAGTCACCCATGCTTATTTCTACCCTTAAGGCACTGAGAAGTCCTCAGCATTCACTCCTGTTTAAGCCTTGCCCCTGGGCACTACTTTCATAAATATCATCATCAAAGCACATCTATTATCTTGTCTGAGAATTGAAATGCAACATTCTTAGTACACAGAACCAAGTCCCCTTTTTCTTGTCATTCCAGAAGCAGGTTTCCTGGATGAGGTGACTTATGACAGCCTCATTCTGGGTCCTGGGTATGATCGTCCCTACCAATTTGACCCCACCGTGAGAGAGCCAAAGACAATCCAGCTTTACAAGCACCTCAACTTAAAGAGCTGCATTTGGACCTTTGATGCTTACTATGACATGACAGAACTAATTGATGTCTGTGGAGGATCTGTCACTGCTGACTTCCAGGTGAGGTTTCATTTCCAAAGCCCAATCCAGATCTGGCAGTATTTACTCACTGTATCCCTCTTCTACCTCACAGATTTGAAACGTATTTGATTTGTCCCTGTTACCATAGGTAGAAAAGTGCATCATGAAATTTACTTGGTCCTTTTATTTTGATAAGCCTAACATACTCTGTACATTTTGTAAAGGCAATGCTTTATTTTTAATAAAAAAAATTTGTGACTGTCTTTTGCTATTAAATGCTTTGTGCCAGATTCTCAGGCTATGTGAACAAGTATTGAACTCAGTGGAGTTGTCACTTTACACTTGCTTAGAATTTGATCCTGTATGAATAGCAGGGTAAGGCCATAGACATTTTTTGAGAATTCTCAAGTTTTTTCTGTTAGCAGAGCGAGAATGAGCAATGTTCTGTAATAAAAGTGGCTTCTTTCTGTATGCACCACTGCCCTCTGCTGGATGGAATATATCTTTGCCTTTCAACTCAAGAAGAGGTGGATCAGCAACTTCAGTGAGGCCACTTAGGTTAGTTTTTAGTACTGCTGAAAACCAGAAACGTATACATACGTCCAGAAACTGTCATATGTCACACAAGCTCATGTGTATATCAGTCCCTTCCATTGGCTGTCCAGGGATTACTATTTCTTTCATCTCTGCAGCCAAGACTGAGGATTTTGATGGATGTGCCAATGCTCCTGCTGGGACTTAAAGCCAGCAGTTCCTGTCTAGAAGGTCTTGCCCCTCCACTGAGGGTCAGACTGATCACTATATTTGGGGTCAGGAAGGAATTTTACCCCATAGTCAGGTTGGTATAGACTGTGGAGGTTTTTGCCTTCTTCTGTAGCAGGGGGTATGGCCCTTTACCTGGAATCTCCTGAGTGTGTATTAACAACCTTTTTGTAGAAGCAAGACATTGTTTGCTGTGGTTCTCCTGATTTACCTGTGGCAAGTTAGGGTGTTATGTCTTGTGTTGTATTAAGGTTGACAGAAGTTTTATGAAGAGTTTAGATTATGGTTTATATAGGATGGTTTGGATAGGGATGATCCTGCCTTAAGCAGGGGGTTGGACTAGATGACCTCTGGAGGTCTCTTCCAATCCTATTTTTCTATGATTCTCTATGAATGGAGGCCTGTGTCTCTAGAGATAAAATCCAGCCTTTCAGGGCCTCATGCATGGTTAGCTAATGACTGCAGTGCAATCTGGGTTCCCAGCTCATCCAGCCCCACAGTGGCATGGAGATGGTCCATGAGACAGGAATGGCACAGGCTCAGTCTGCAGGCTTGATCTGGTGGTGGGGGGGTCTACAACATCTGTATGACTCCCCATGGGTCTGAACATTTGCCAGCACAAGTGGTGGTAGCATTAAATGCTGATGCTCTGGAAACTGTAGCAATTAATGCTACCACTGCTTCCTGGGAGCCATATCTTGGTCACCCTGCTGGAGTGCGTTTGTATGGTAGAAGCCAAGTACAGACACATCCATATTTATGGTTCAGATAGTGCCATTCATATAAAGGTAAAGAAATGTTTACATAGCCAGCTTTGACTAACTCTAGTGCTTGGGGCAGGTGAGAAGTGCTCTGTATTTGTTCTGTGCTCTTTTAGCAGCTGAAGAGGTATTACTTATTTTTCCAGCGGCAGCCTAAAAATGCTTTCTTTGTTTACATTTAAATTCCCATGATTAGTAAGTCTGGAACGGTATACAGGCCTTCTACTGGCTGTGGTGAATTTTACCCAGTATGCGAGCTTTAGGCAATTAAAATGAGGTTTTTACCAGTAATTAAGTACTGGCTTAACTCTGTTATTTAAGTTAGTGGTTCCAATCCCATTGCCTTCAATGAGAACACAGATAGGCTGGTGCAGAATGTTTTTTAAAATCCTATCTATAAAATTAGCACTGATGCCTTATTTTTTATTATTCAAATAAAACTTATACCTGTAGTTTAGGTTTAATATCTGAAAAGCTTAAAAAAGATATTCCTTAAGATGGGTATGTCTATATGTTAAACTGCATAGTAGTGTGGAGATACATGAGCTAATGGTAAACAAGAAACAAGTTAAATTATCCAGTATTGAGTTTCATGCTTCTACAACTACACTGCATTTGGTACCTAAGGTACCAGAACTGCAACTTGCTTGGTATTTCTACAGTAGTACAGTGTAGGCATACTCGTTATTCTTTCCAATCCATGCTTCAGGCATTAAAAAGGAATGTTCACCAATTCCATTCACTTGATCATGAAATTACATAGATATGCCTCCATACTCAGAGTGAAAGTAAAGAAAAATGTCTATTTAGCTATACCAGAATGGCAGAGGATTAAAGGCTTTTAGGCTATACAGCAGAAGTAAATACTAGCCTATACTACATAGGCTACTACTTACTGGAAGTAAGAGACTGCATACTACATGCTGGCTGTGTCTACACATGCGCTTTACTGCAGAGTAGACTAATTAGCTGCAGAATAAAGCATCACTGTCTACATGTGAGACGGTATTAGGCCACAGTAAACTAATTTATGGCGCACTAAGATAATACTTTCATGGACAGTACTATCTTAGGTCAGGGTAATTTACTGCCATTAAACACACATGTAGACTGCATGTGTAAATTGCACCCAGTCAGCCCAGCCAGTGGAGGGCCAGATTCCTGCCTGCCACCTAGCCACACAGCTCCATACTTCCAACACCCATGTGCCCCAGCCAGCCCTCTCCCCCTGCCTCTGCTGCTTCCTGAAGCCACCACCTGGAGCCTGGGGCTGAGGAACCTGGCATAAACTGCTCCAATCTGGCTCAAATTGCTGCTGTCTTGAGCACACGTGTAGACACTGCACCCAGGAATAGTCTACTTCAGCTTGAACTTCTCCAGAGTTTATTGCTTCAAATTAACTGCATGTATAGATGCAGCCACTGCCTAGTACTTACTACTGCTAGAACAGCTAGCCTAATACGTAGTACTGCTAACTACAATTGTTATGTTATACAGAGCCACAAAAGATTTGTCCTGTAATGTAAATAATTTTAAATTCCTATTTTGGTCAGGTTCTCACTGCAAAAACTTACTAGCCAAACTATGTCGACAAAGCCCTTGATGCCAGTAGAAGAAGGCTTTTGTGGGCTTAGCTAACGTTGTCTGGGGAGGTGGCATAGCTATGCCAGTACTGTGTCTGTACTCGGAGTTTTTGCTAACAGCAACAGCTCTGTAGTGTAGATGAAACCTACCATGCTTTTGTGTTTCCTATGCCTAGGACATCCATGGTTCTTGCAGAAGAAGAGAGTCTAATGCTTAGATGTCAGACTAGAAGACCAGAACAAAAAGAATTTTTAATGTATCTCTGACCTTTTTCTCTACTTCTGTGGCAAAAGCTGAGTGCAAAATGTTTTCTGGTTAAAATGCACCTACAAAGCATTGTTGCAAGGTCATCCCAGGATCTTTTTTCTAAAAAGTTATAGAACCGTAGAATCATAGAAAATTAGGGTTGGAAGGGACCTCAGGAGGTCATCTAGTCAAATCCCCTGCTCAAAGCAGGACCATCCCCAACTAGATCACAACCATCCACAACCATCTTCCTGTTTGACAGGTGCGAGATTCTGCTCAGTCCTTCCTAACAGTCCACGTCCCTCTCTATGTGTCATACATCTATGTGACAGCACCTAGAGGTTGGGCCTCTCTCGAGCACCACACAGAGATGGAATTTTCCTTCTTCTATGACACTGTTCTCTGGAGGACAGGTAGGCAGAGGGAGGGTTTTTCTTCTCTTGTTTCTCTTGGACTGCACACCTGACTTGGCAAAGTAAATGAGACTTCTGTGTGGGTTAGCATGCGTGGGATCAGTCCCTTGAACTGTAAACAAATAGCCAGGGGGACTAGCATTCCCCCCTTAACCTCTCTGTCAATATTGCAAAATGGATTTCACCAAGTTGTAGAAACTGCAGCTTAGCAAGACCTTTGAGGTCAATTCCCCTTCCCCCCACCCCTAACCCTAGCTTGCTCTGCCCCTCCTTCCCAAGTCCTGGCCAGGATTGCTCCTGGAGGCATACCTTGTAGTGATTTCCCCAGCTGTCTCTTAAATTAATCTAATATTGGAATCACCAACCGCATCCCACAACCCACCAGTCCTCAGAGAACGGGATTCTTTCCCAATGCAACCTCATAGAGTTGTACTACATTACTACCAACTATAAATCCTGCTTAGTTCAGGCCACATCCAACTTAAAGGTATCTGAGTGGCATTTAGGGTTACAAGTGCACTCCTATTCCACCCTGCTTGAATCCCTGGAAAATTCTTTATACAAGAGGTCAATAACTCCTTTTTCTCCTTGCTGCTTTTCATGACCACTAGCCTTTGTCTTAAGGCTAAAGTGAAGGCACCTTACCAAAGGAATGTTTTCTCAGGGACTTGCCAGGGAACAATAGGATTGCACACTGACACCTTATAGATAGAATAAGGTTTAGCCTTTCCTCTCCTCCTTCAGTGAGTTACACCCCCTTCACAGGTTATCACAGGTTATCCTGTGTGTAACACTTGGGAGTCCATTTTGGGTTAATTTTCTCTTCTGTTTCACCCAACGTTTGAAGTAGTTTTGCTAGTCCATATGGAGTGCGAGCAGCAAGGATTGCACCCTGGGCATGCATTACCAGAATCCCCATTGTTGGAATTCATTCTGGAGAGGAAAATACACCTTAGTGCAAGCTGGTCCTGTAGGTAGTCCTCTCACCATTACATTTACTTTCTCCACCTTGTACTCATGCAGGGATCCAGACAGACAGTGTTCTTTCTGCAAGGCTGCAGATAATACGAATCTATATCCGAGAGGATGGCCGCCTGGTGATAGAATTCAAGACCCAAGCCAAATTCAGAGGTAAGTGAGAGCATCAGCCTGATTTAGAAGCAAAGCGTTCAAAAATACTGGGAGCTACCACAACCAATAATGGTAGGTGACTATGCTACTGTACAGCAGGCACCTGTGTTTTTGCCACTGTTACTCTGAATCTCCCTTAAAGAAGAGCCTGTACAGAACAGTGTTCCCCCTAAGGTTTAGTGATCCATGAGCTATCCTGGCTGGGAGTGTGCAGGTATCTCAATGTGCCCACTTCTCCCTGCTCCTTCAGCAGCCCCTGCCCAGGTTGGGGTGGGTGGCAAGCGGCCAGATGCAAAGCTGGTGGCAGCGCGGAGAGCGTTGGCGCCCCCTTGCTACAGCACTGGGCATCCCCCCCGCCCCCGGCCGGTGCTCAGGGGCCATGGCCCCCTACTGCCCCCCCCACGCACCTCCATCCATATGCCACTGTGTGCGCAGCATTAAAAAATAATTGCGCGGCATGATTTTTTATTGCGCGCGGCTGCACATGCACACAGCTTAGAGGGAACGCTGATATACAAACAGAAGTACTGAATTAAGGTTTGTAAGACTGGTCCCTTCTATGTTTGACTTTATTTTAGACCCTTAATGAACATTAGCTATTGCAATCTGTAGCAGTTCTGCAGCCATGGGGACAGCCATAATGCTTCCTGGTGGCTGTGCAACCCCTGTCTGGTTCAGGCTTGGCTACAGCCCTTCCCTGGAATCTCACCAGCCATGCCTTGCTCTTAGTGAAGGTTATAAAAGGGAGGCTGCCTGTGGGCTGTATGTGAGCCTAAGCTCAGTGGTGACTGGTGCCTCCTGAGTCAGTCAGCGACTGGGAGATGAGTCCCCCTGCGGCCGATTGTGCCAACCCAGAAGTGCCAGTGGCACACATGGAAATGCCAGCGGCACTTCTCCTGGCATCCCCACACCCTGGCTGGTGCTTTCAGTGTGGGCACCAGTGCTCCCTCCTGCCCACTGCCTAAGCGGGGAATGCTGGCTGTCAGGGGATGCACCAGCGCTCTGAGGGGGTGCACGTGCACCACTGCCTGAGCCTGTGTCAATCCCCACTGGGCCTTTCCTGGGTCCCCTCTGTCACAGTCCTGCACCTAGGCCAGTAGGCCCTCTCAGCCTGTCTCTACTGCAGCTGGGCACCTGTTGCTGTCATGGCTCCATGTGTGACTTCGTACCTCCCCTACACCACACCCCAAACCTTGCAAGTGTTCTCTCTCTGTGATGTTGACTAATTATGCACTCAGCCCCCTTTGGCTTTTGGACACCCCGTGTCCCTTACACCATTCCTTACTGGGCTCTCAGACCCTGGTCTTGCATGTGGCCCCTTCTCCAGGCTCAGGAACCCTCTGGTCCAGCTTAGCCCTCCCCCAGGCACCAGGACCCTCTGTGGGCTCAAAATAAAACGAAGACCACTTGCCTGTAAACTCAGTCCTTCTCTGCCTAGGGGCCTTGCCTCTGCTTTCAGGCCTACAGCACTGGTTATATAAGTTCCAGTCCTTTCAGGAGCCCTGCTGCCCAGAGCTCCTTACCCTATGGCTGCCAGGGAGAGACTCCCAGACCCAGGCTCTGGGCTTATATAGCTGTAGCCTGTGTCCTCTTCTGGTCAAGTGAGTCTCATATCAGGCCCATGCACCGCCTGTAAGCAGCCTCACAGGCTTCCAGCTCACTTAAAGGAGCAGGCACATCCCAGTGCCCTGCTATACAATCACACCCATCCAACATATGACTTCATGACAGGTATTTAGGAAGGCTGGGTGTGGCAGGTGCAGAGATCCCACCTCGGGAAAACAGCTGGGTATTCGTATCCCACCGCTATTTCCACCACGTGAGGCGGGCTAGTAGGGGGCGCTTCTGCGTTGAGCCGCCCACCTCCCTGCTCCTGACCACCTTCCAGGCTCCGAATGCCTCTCTAGGGGCTCCTTATGTCCGGCTGACCCCTCTCCTGGAGCACACTCGCTAGTCTGGCAGTAACGTGCCGCCACCACCCCGAGAGTGGACTGTCTCAGTCCTGTATCCTCAGGGAAACACAGGCCTAATAGTCCTACGGGTAC